CCGTTACTTTCGGAATTCTACAGTAACTACATGTAAACAACAACTCTCCGAGTACACTTACCACATTGCAGCTCGTCAGAACCATCGCTACAGTCACTGAACCCATCACACCTCCAGCTGCTTGGAGTGCACTTGCCATTGTTACAGCGGAACTGCACATCAGTGCATGTGGCGGATGTACAGTTAGATTCATCCGATAGATCTCCTGCACCGCAGTCATTATCTCCATCGCAATACCAGTTTTCAGGTATACACTTGCTGCTGTTTAAACATCGGAATTGCTTCTCACTGCACGTTGCACCAGCTAAAATAGGAAGAGCGCAACCTTATTTCAATAACAGCAACCATATACTTACAACGGATAACAACAACTCGAATGATTTTTTTCTTGACTAGTTTTAACACTAATCAAATTCTCTTATAGACGAATCACATCTTTACAACTATAGATAAACTATGAGAGCTGACGGGCATCCGTGACAATTTGTTAAATGGTAAGCAAGGGTTGCATACCTATAAATACTTGATAAATTTGACAAATAAGTATATACAAAACTGTCTTTTCCATGTCCTTTGGTTTCTAAATTCAAGTATAATTGAAGGGTTTTCGGTATGAGAAGATTTAGATGATACTCTTCTTGTTTAAACAACTCAGGTTTCTAAATTCAAGTATAATTGAAGGGTTTTCGGTATGAGAAGATTTAGATGATCTCTTCTTGTTTAGACAACTCAGGTTTTGCACTGAAGTCTTCCATTTAGTTTGTAAACATTTTGCACTGGATATTTGTCGTGTTCCACTACCGTTTTAGCAAAAAAATATCCTGATACCGAGACGTTTTGCTAGCAATATAGGCAAGCAATGCGTGCAAAAAGTCTATGCAGATGTAACAAATGGGCTTATCATGTTAACCGACAAATTATTAAAAAAGTAAACCAGCTTTTATACTTACCACAGCCAGCAAATCCTGTCTCATCAGAGTGATCTAAACAGTCCATTTCACCATCACACCTCCAGTTGTTAGGAATACAAGCTCCATTTTTACAAGCAAATTTGTTAGATGGGCACTGAGGTGTTGGTGAGATAGAGACATTGACTAGAACGCAACGCAAAAAACGATATTCTACAACCAGCATTTCGTCGACTGCAGGGTTAAGATACTTTGTAACAGAAACAAACCGGGTTTTATGATTGGTATGGATCCTATGCTGCCACCAACAACATCATCAACAATTTGTAACAACAACAACAACAACAACAACAACAACAACAACAACAACAACTCTATTTTTCTCATTACAAAGAGCGTTATTAACAGTTAGATTTAAATTCAGGAAAAGTTGTTCAAATTAATGACAACTGTGGTAATCATTTGTTTTTAATGAGACTGGAGACCAAATGAACCGTTAGGTTCTTGAGTTAATCTCCAGCCTTGTTATGTCTAATTGTAGGACAGGAGAGATGAAGGAAGAATTTACAGTTTACAATTTAGTTTTTAGGGAAAAAAATCACTAATTCGGGTCTTAATCTCACAGTAAGTGAAGCTATACGTACTAAAACATTTTAACTTTTCATGGTATATAGTGTTGAATTATACTACTAAAAAGTGAGAATAGTTGCATACAGAAAATGTTTGCCATTCTAAACTCAGAAAAGGTGCAGGTGTAGCAACACAAACCATTCCTTCCAGGAACCTTGCACTTGCATAGCATTTCTATAACTCGTACGAAACACAAGAAATGTTACTTGTCTATTTCTTCTGAAATGTTTTCCTCTGCTGCTTCCCACATTTCTACTTACCAACACACGTTCTGTTACTTCCGTACTCAAAGTCCATACCATACGGACAGGCACAAGTGAAACCACCAGGTCGCAAAAGACACAGATGACTACAACCATCAGAGCCAACGCTATAAGGACTGCTACCTGCAGTTAAAAGAAGCAAGTTATTGTATATGTACGATTCAAGATACAAGGCTCAAATTACATCAGTGTCACATGACTAAGCTTGTGTTAAATAACTGTATGGGACCAAACTTGATGCTTCTGTTAGCTAGGATGACCTCAACAGGGCAAATCATGTTTTGTAGCATTTCCATATAGCAGTTAACAGAATAACACTATGGTGCCACGCCTCGAGAACTGACTCATAATGTTATAAGCTGTGTTGATTCCTGCAGCTTGATACTGATAATTATGGCCTGCTGCTGATTTGTTGGGCTTCATACTGATTGTTATTAATTAACACGACTTGTTAGTGATTAATGTGTCTTGTTAGTGATTGGTGCACCTTATCAGTGATGTCTACGTCTTGTTTGTGATTGTCACTACTTTGTCAGGTCTCCATAAAAGCAAATAGTTTATAACGCGATTGAAGTTACGACTGAATGGTAAAGCCGTACTGAGAAGAAAACAATTCCTAAAGTTGAAGAGATGACTAAACCGTAATGCCGTGAAAGGGTTCAGTTTTGCATAGCAGAGGAAGTCTTGACTTAAACGCAGTGCTGTAGAAGCGTAGTTGAGAGCGAGATGACACATACCCATTAACGTCAGTTGGGACTAAAACACTGAACTTTAGAAGTGCATCTTCATGTTAACGTAGAGTCGAAAATGCGCGCTGTTTTAATGAATATATTGCCACGTCTGAAATTGTCCCCGGTCTCACTCAAGTCATTCACAAAGAACAGTCTGTGGGACCCACCTGTTTGCTTCGCTAAATCGTAAACTCGGATTTCCATCAGCCCTTCCAAACCTGACCTTAATACAACAACAGACGATGGATCGTTGATCTTTGCCCTTCGAATATCTTTACTAGTCCAGTCCGTCCAGTAGATAAATCCATTGTAAACATCAAGACCAAAAGGATGAGTCATATTTTGCAGTACCACTTTGCGGTTGGAACCGTCAAGATCAACACACTCGATGGTGTCTAATCTAGCGTCTGCCCAGTAAAGTTTGCCGGACGTGTAATCAACGCTAAGGCCGTTTGGCCAGGTCAGACCGCCCCCTTGAACAAGAATCTGCCGTCCTGTTCCATCCATATTGGCCACTTCTATCTTAGCTGGGGCTTGCCAGTCACTCCAGTACATCTTCCTGTTCAAAACAGTGTAACAAGGACCTTTCAGAAATGTTTGACGGTACAAGCTGCATGCATTAGCATATGCATAGTGATAGGGTTAAGAGTACATTCGAGCCTAGTGAACTAACAAGCCAGTGCTTACTTTCGTTTTCAACTGAATGAGGCGACTAATAAATAAAGCACTTCTATTCCCCCTCGATGGCATGCTAGTCTATCAAAGGTGATTAGTTCCGTTTAAGAGCCAGGAGTTCTGGAATTCGCAGTAGCTCTAAGATTCTCAAACTCATTAATAATTCATCATGTGTAAACAAAGGACATCATGACCGTGATGGTGTTTGGAAATCTCTTCTTAATTACAGTAACATGGATTTTTTACGATTTTATTTCTCCCTTTTCTCCTTAGTTTTAGTTTCAAAATTGAGAAGATATATTTTAAGCACTCAAAACAGTGTTTGACCACATTATCAAACACCCTGAAGTTCGTCAGAAACGCTCCGCTGTGCGTCGTTTCTTCAACTCTCTTCTCGGTGTTTGGAAATGTGGTCAAACACTGTCTTTCGTGTTTGATATATTACTAATTAAAGTCTTACCGTCTTGTTCCGCGGCTGAGAAATTCCGAAGTGAAAAGAATAAACTTACCCCTCAGTTGGATGCAAGACAATGGCCCTGGGTCGTGCCACATCCTTATCAAATAAAACCTTCTTGAACGATCCATTTAACCTTGCTACCGCCACTTCATGTCTATCAGCATCTGTCCAATACAAGTTTCGACCAATCCAATCCACTGCTAAGCCATCAACATTTTTCACTGATTTCACCAACACCTTAACCTTTCTGTCAGCAAGACTTATCCTGCTTATGTTGTCTCGAACAATGTCAGAAAAGTAGATCATTCGCTCTTTGGCATCAAAGTCAATTCCGACAGCATTTCCAAGCCCTAGCAGAGGTGAAATAGCATCGCCTGATACATTCACCTCTTTAGGTATACCTGCGATTTCCGGTCCACGTGCATAAATCAGGAAAGTGTTCTGTAAATTACAAGACTTCTTATCCTCGGCCAGTTGATAGCCTATCCTACAGCTGCACACACAGCCTCTTGTTGGAATAGGTGTGATGAGACACAGCTGAGCGCAGCCACACTTGCTGTCGTTACAGGGATTGGATGCGGGCGGTTGCCTAGCACTGTGGTACACGTGCACATCCATTGGCTGGCCAAGATTCTGCAACAGAACTTTGCTCTCATTGCCCGTGAACTTCTGCACTTTGATAACCGCATGCCTTGTCCAGTCAGAGAAGTATAGGAAATTCCTATACACGGTGATGGCAAATGGATGGACAACACTCGGATGACCAAGAACTCGCCTTCGTGCTCCACCATCGTAATTCATGGCTCCGATGTAGTCAAAGTGGGCATCAGCCCAATAAATTTGACGGGTTGGATAATCTAAGGTCAGGGCATTAGGCCAGTAGATGCCTGTCTCTGCAATGGTTTTGCGGGCAGATCCATCCATCCCTGTTCTCTCTATTCTGTGCTTACCCCAGTCTGTCCAGAACAAGTAACTACAAATACAAAATCACCGTTATCACACCAACTTGTTCACTATCAAAGATTCAGCTGAAAGAAGTTTTAAGAAACACAGTTTCAGGTAACTGACATATATAGCGACTGTGCGTTTTCGCCCAAGAGGATTAGAATCACACAGATTGTCACTAAAATGTCTTTGACTAACAGCAATCTTTTCTACATAAACACCATCAAAATACTTCACCCCTGTCTTAAATTCACCGGCACATAAATGTTAGACTCACCCATCCCTTGGGTCAACAGCAATGCCCCTTGGGTTGGAAAGGTCCTTTGTGATAAGTGATGCAAGATGACTTCCATTAAGCTTGCATACAAAGATCCTTTTTGCTGAGCTGTCCACAAAGTATAAATTTTTTGCTACCCAGTCCACAGCGAGACCATCTGGTACAGCTAGTCCATCTTTAACAACAGCTTCTACCTGATAACAACACAATGACAATGATGAGAGAAAACCCTACTGAGAATGACAAAGCCTCCATTCAAATAAATTTCTCCTTGACTGTTTGTTGTTGAAAAGGAAATTGCATGGCACAGTGTTAACGTAGGTGCCACGTAAAAGCAAAGAGTTATAAAGGCAAAACAACATGACGTTACAGAACCAACATAATTTATATAGTTACAGCATCTAATGTGACAAAGACGTTCTTACAATGAGGGGTGGTGAACGGTAAATGTGAGAGCCCGAGACATTTTAACTTCTTCAATCGTGAGACCGAGACTTTAAAACACCATGATCGACACGTTCAAGTTCGAAGACGTTCCGACGTTTTTAAAACACATAATCGATACGTCGAAGCTTTCTTAGTCTTGCAAAGACATGGAGACTGCGGGAAAACTTCGTGAAAAAAAAAAAATCGAGACTGCGAGACCCGTGTAATTCGACGAACGTTTCGCACAGCCCGTGGGTTTTGAAGGACAATTCACCACCCCTACAATAGGCACTCAACGTAGGTGGATCTAATCCAAGTACCAGAACCAAAAGCATCTCGACACAAGTAGCAAAAGAAAGCAAATCACGACAAGTCAACCTACTTTCAATGGTTGGCCACCATCTTTACCAAATAAAATGTTTGTTCCATAAATGGCATTTTCAGTCACATCTGTCCAGAAGAGCTTTCCTTCACCAACATCAAAGTCAATGGCGACAGTTCGGCTCAAGTTAGAGAAAATGAAGTTATACTTTACTCCATCCAAACTGACTTGGCGTATGCTTTTTCTGTTTGCTAGTAATAACCATGGCTCCTCACCTCCTATAATAAAAGACAGTCCATTGAGATAACAATTTTTCCACAATGTAAATCACAATCCAAACAGGAACCATTACCTGGCGGTCGACAGGTGCGCGGTGGTTCAAAGACATATCCCTCCACACATGAGCACTTATAAGATCCTTCAGTATTGAAGCATTTGTGATCGCATATTCCAAGGGTTGAACACTCATTTACATCTACAGAGCGAAAATACAGTAAGCTGTATGTCAACAAACCTATAGGGTACGATTTGTTTACCACAATCCGGGTCAACTTGTTGGGAGACTTGGACTGAGTGTAACTTAGCTTGTATATCATCATTCATGTGCTCTATATTCCCACCTCGACTTTTTTCAATGTTGAGTTGGGAGGAGATAAAACTGTCTCTACATCGAATGCAGTTTCTGCACGTAATATAGATAGCGACAACGGTGTAATACAGCCTTAGTTTGAAAAAAATTGTAGATCATAAGGGGCCCAATTAAATCCGAGTTGACATTGCAATATGACAGACTTGTCTTATCTCACTTAAGAATATTAATTTTTAGTTGTAAGGGAATGTCTAATGAAGCCCTATTTCCAATTATTAGGTTTCCAAGTGATATTCAGATTTGACCACTAAGCTAGTGCGCACAACAAAACTGTTCTTGCAATTACTAGGATACAAGAGTTACATGTACACAAAAGAGCAATTTGCACTTACCCCTACATGAAATCCCATCAGAATCTAAGACATAACCAGGTCTACAGAAACAACGAGCCCCACTTGACGTTTGCTGACAAAGCTGGCTGCAATTTTTCTGCCTTAAACAATCCTGATTTACTGAAAAATACATGAACGCTAAACTTAATATAAAGCATAACAATTTATACATTTTTGTATCAGTACCATTAAGATAATAATAGAGCCAATTTTGGCGCAGTGAGTAGACATGGGGGTTCCAAACAAGATTTGCTCAACATGAATTTCCTGTCATTAATCAGAATTTCACCATCATGTTCAACTAAACCTTAAGAATCCTTACCAGACTTGTGTGTTGTTATGGTCAAATCAAATGGGGGAATTTGTGGCAGGCAAATCATGTATGGCAGCATTGTTCACCTACAGCAACCTGATTTGTCCTTTTGGCAGGATAATCATGTCTCTAGTAGCCTGCCAATTATCCATTTCCACAATTCAAGGCAAGTTTTCTCCATCTTTAATCAAACTTATATACTGACCGCACTTATCTACACAATGCACAGAAACTGACTGTACTACAAACACATTATCAAAATAATCAATCAGGAAAATAATATGTTGGGTTTAAACCTTTGCCATCCCTGGTCCACTTTGCTTGTTGTTAAATGTTTCAAGATTTCCTTTGATTACAATGCATTCATATCAAATTTGTAATTTGACAGGATGTACAGTTCCTGGGTACAGCAGGTCCAACAATGCACTTACAACAATGTGTGCCTTCATCAGAATTGTCACCACAATCATCATTTCCATCGCACACTTGAGTCATATTCAAGCAACGAGATGTCCCTACACATTGCCACCGGTTTGGTGGACATGTCACAGGCCCTGGAAGTAGTAGGCAAGAAAGCAAAATTAGCAATATTTAAACAACAAGGAGGAAAGAAACAAAAAATCCAAAGACAAGTTAGAGGAGTATGGTATACCCAACCCAGTCTTGACATGCACACCATATCAAAGATATTCAGGAATATTTTAAATTAATTTCTAGCTATACAACAATGCATGTGCACATTGTATATCTAGAAATGGAAAAAAATGTAAATTATATAGAGCAGTTTTCAATGGAGTGTCAAAAGTAATCACGCAATTACTTCGGATTTGGTTTTACTACGGTTTGTGATTGGCTAAGTAGTCTACATGTAATTGGGAAGCACATGTAATCGGTTTGGTTCTGGTTTTACGACACTCGACTGAAAACCACTCTATCAGTATTACCTTGGTATTGGTTAAAACTAAAAGTCTTCCAATTAGGCAAACATCGCAGATAATGAAATGCAGTTTGGTCTGGCAGAAGACAGCACATAATTAAATCAAACATTTAGCAGGGCTATCATTAAGGGCCGTAAGCCATAATACCTGTTACGACTGCATGAGTATGCTTGATTCTCCCTTGATGCTACGGGTGAAATTCCCTGTTGTTTAGAGAATTCACCCACAAAGTAACAAATTTGCTATGGGTGTGGAGAATAAGGCTACAGGTGACTAAAAAATTAATGACAACCCTGTTTAGTATCAAAATGCTCTTCTATCACCTCTCAACTGGAAATTGTACTAAAATGTGTTTGTATAAATAATACTACACTATTTATAACATAATAAAAAATAATATTAAATGTATTAATATACTTATTATTAAATGTTCTGCAATGTAGATTACCACAATCCTGTTCGTCAAAACCATCCTGGCAGTCATCGTCCCCATCACATTTCCAATTGATGTCAATACACGTCTCATCTGAACATCTGAACTCAGTAGAAGCATCACATTTACTCTGCGCTATATATAAACATGTAAAATATATCAGACAAAATGGGTGACAAAAATGGACAAATCAGTATTCTAGAGTCCAGAAAGTATAGGTCTGATGAAGAAAAACAGTGAAGGCAGAGAAGGCTCCATATTTAGTTTCCTACAGTCAACATAGAACTGGCATTTACCAACACCTTTGTAAACATGGCTCACACCTTCTTCAGTGCCACAAATGCAATACCCTCATTAGATATCTATCTACCATTCCAAAATTCATTGTTACAGTAATAAATAAATAAATACTGATTAGAGTATAGACATGTATACATTAATGGGTACTATGTTCTGCAACCAAGAAGAGGAAAAAATAAAATACTTCAAATAACCACAACATAACATCAGGTGAATAGTCGCAAAAGGCCTACTTACTACAGTTGAGCTCATCGCTCCAATCTCTGCAGTCATTTTGTTCATCACATACCCAAGAGTCATCTATGCACAGGCCATTGTCACACCTAAACTCACTGGGCTGACATGGTGGACCTGAAGCATTCGTGAAGGAGCAAGTTCAAAATTAACCAGTGCATGTAGTAAGCAAGTATTGTAATGTACATTTAAGGCACTCAAGTTTAACTTTCAGAAGTGAATAGACAGATGTCACTCTTCAGTTGAGATGCTCTAAAGTTCTCTCTCTTTTGAGCCCTCTTGGTTATCTGCCTGCTAACAAAGAATAGGAAGCCCCTTAAGTGATATAAGGCCTTCCAATGTAGATTTTCCATTATTAACTTACTACTGTTTTCTAGGAATATCATTACCTCAAGTACAAATAGGCAATGAATAACTAAAGACTGGAAGTATATTATCAGAGTGGCTTGAAACCTATCAAAATATTTTTCAGCAGAGTCGTTTCTCGTCTGCTTTTCTCCACAATGGTTTAATTACAAGCTTTCCATATTTCCTGGACACATGCCTCCTAGTTATGAGGCTTAATCAAGCCTGGCCAAACCCTTTACAACCTTGACTGAGTCCAGGTTCCATAACAACATTTTAAGGTACATTGAAAGTCTCTTATTAGTTACAATTAATAAGAATAGCTTTCATTCACAGAAACTGCAGGGTCCCCAAACACCCTGTTGTTGTGCTTTTTTGTATGTATCATACAGGTGACATGCAGAAGTCTATTACAGTGGAACCTGACCTGACGGCCACCCTGTTAATATGACCACCTCATTATCACAGCCACTTTATGAAAACAAAAGCTCAGTCAGTCATTTTCATATTTAAAGAACCCCTCTAATACAGCCATCCATTAATATCATGGCCAAATTTTTGTGGCCCATTGGAGACCAGATTAACGTACCAGTACTCAGGATTAATTATTCAAAAATTTATATTTAACATCCTCCAGTGTCAAGAGTTTATAATGTTATGCAACATACTCACTTGGGTCACAATCAGTCTCATCTGACATATCACCACAGTCATCATCCTTATCACACCTCCAATCCATAGAAATGCAGATTTTTCCATTTTCACAGCTGAAGTCATGCGGAGCGCAAGTATGATTTTCTAGATAATGAGGATTCACACAACACAATTACACTAATTAAAACGGTTTGAAAAGAAACGTAAAGTTACTACATGTACAAGTCATGTATGTCTTTGCTCTTTCATGGCAGTTTCTGAGGGAAAGATTCCAATGCACAACAATTATTGTAAGTTACATCTATTCTCACTGTAGGGTAATCTTTGCTGATGTCATTGTTTAAATTTTGCCTCATTAGCATATGACTTTGTGTAAAGAAGGCATCATGATAGACGGGGATTGACTTATCAATCAGTTTACTTTAAGAGCAATTGAAACTTGGCAATTGGCCAATTATGAAAACAGTGTGCAAAGACTCCCTTTTGGACTAATTACGATAAAAAAAAAAACTGTCCCAAATACTGCTTCAAATGCCACTCATTCTTAAAAATTATTAACATTAGTTGATCTTTGTGCCCAGCTGGTTTAGTAGAACCACTTTGCTGGCCAATTAGATATTCAGTAAAGGTCTTTAAAGATTCAACTTACTGGGAAACATCAAAAATGTCTTCAGGTTTCGGTGAAGTGACAAAGATGAGAATTCTAAGGTGACTTCAAGTCTTGTTTCAGAGTTAACATCTGAAAAAACTGACCTCTAAACAGTGTACAATCAGGCTTTACTCTTTACTTTTGAGTAGGTGAAGTTTCAGCTTTTGGTAATAAGATATTGATAAAGTACCCAGCAGGTCCATCATTTTTTAATTATAATTATTAATAATTTATTGTCAACAAGGAACCTACTACAGTCCAACTCATCACTGCCATCGTCACACTCTGCACTACCATCACACTGCCACCTTGTGGGAATACAGCGAGTTCCATCAGCACATCTAAACTGGGTACTGAGGCAATTTACAGCTGTTGGTGAAACAACATACCAATAAAAAATGAACAATAAATTATAAAACAAATAGAAAATTAAGAAAAAAAATTCACAATAATTAACGAAACATGAAAATATGTAATTTTATTTAAAAAAGAAATTAAAATAAAATAATAAAAATAAAATTAAAAAATAACTGTAAAAAAGTGTAGCCAATGGAAACACAAGACTTGTCGTCTTAGCAAATTCAAACTTTACAATGTTCTTGCTATTATTCCTTCCTATTTCTTGGAAATTTTTAAACAAGCACTTTTGGGTTTCAAACACTTCTGGCATCTTAATTTATTTGTTTCCGGGTTGTCCAGCAGGAGAAAAATGACATAATTAAATTGTTTACGACATATTTAGCATTTAGTTATAGATACAGTGCAGCAGTGTGATATTAAAGGTCTTAAGGAAAACCCAGACAGTCACAGCTGGTTTTTCACAGGTTCTCATCTAATAGTGCAGGGTGGTGATACGATATCATTTCCTAAGGAATGGTCAATACAATGTCACTTCCTGGATTGTAGTCTCCAATGAAATATCTCTTTATAAATTTACCTAGTCAGAACAAATCTGTGTTCCCTTACATGTGTATAAAACTGACAATACTCACAACAACCCTTCTCATCCTCTCCTGCTGTGCAGTCTTTGTCACCATCGCATTGCCATGTTAAAGGTATACACCTATTGCTGCATGCAAACTGTAGTGCCGAACAGCTTGGATCACCTGAAAAATAATCATTCCAACTTATCATCTTACATGTAGTCCATCAGTGTAAGGCTAGTGAATTGTTCCTGACCAAGCATAAGGTATAGACGAAGAAATACATGTATCAACCAGGCAATTGCTTTTTTTATTATTATTTTTTTTCTTTTTTTTTTTTTTTTNGTCTTTGAGTTAAGGATTTCTCAAGTGAACTTTTCAAATAGACGAAGGGTGAGAATCAGTTCTTTCATTGCCCCCATTCAGGCAGAACCAGTGAACCACCAACAATCACAGATGGTAACTCATTCAACCAGATGAGCCTGACATCTCAGGCACTTGCCGTTCAACCAACAAAATCCGGTTTGAATTTTCAGTATTTTAACAATGTGGACTTCCAGAAAATATCCGTACCTCCCCCACGGAAGGGAATGTTCTAAGACCCCTCCACCCCTCTCTGGAATTTCAGATTAAGCCTCAAATACTTCTTTAAATTTGTTGGTCTCACAGCGCCACCTCCCACCCCCCAAGAAATTCTGTGAGAGAGGGGGGAGTGTATGGATATTTTCTGGCACTGCACAATAGCAAATAAAAGCTGAAGCATTTCTCAGAAGTTCCAGAAAAAAGGGCAACCTCATAATGTACACTTAATTAGATTATCCACATTTTCAAAAATTTCTCTCTGGGAACTTTCTGTTCCATCTGTTTTTCCTTCCTTCATTTATTTAATCACAGAATTTTCAGTTAAATTGTTCATACATTGCAGACCTTCCAGAAACTTTCCAAGGAAATCTCAGTGCTATTCATCCCTTTCTATAAAGTTCTGGAATTTTTGGTTGATTTTGATTGGAAAGTGTGTCCTGGACTAAACAAGCTTTATAATATTTAATACATATAATTGTACAGTTTTTCCTTCCTTCATTTACTCAATTACAGAGTTTTCAGTTGAATTCTTCATACATTGCAGACTTTCCAGAAACTTTCCAAGGAAATCACAGCACTATTCATCCCTTTCTAAAAAGTTCCAGAATTATTGGTTGATTGGAAACTGTGTCCTGGACTAAACAAGCTTTATAATATTTAATACATATAATTGTACAGTCACTTGACTAAAGCATTTCTAGCTATAGAAAAAGACTACTAAAAAACAGCCAGCACCTACAAGTCAGAGTGAAGGACCTGGAGGTGGACCAAGTGATTATTTTGCTCATTTAACTGATTATTCTGTAGACAAAGCAGAACTTGTAAAACAATAAAGAAATGGATCATGAAAATGTGACACATCAGATAGCCAAACCCTCAACTTAATGGGTAGCAGGGATGCCACAGTGGTGAGAGCACTCGCCTCCCACCAATATGTGACCCAGGTTTGATTCTGGCCCAGTGCCATATAGGTGAGTTGAGTTTGTTGTTGGTTCTCCCCTTGCTTTAAGAGTTTTTCTCCGGCTTCTCCAGTTTTCCTCCCTCCATATAAACCAACATTCCAAATTCCAATTCGACCAGGATAGAGCACCCGCATGAAAACCAGATAAGGCTGATGTGGCTTCCTCTCTGACTATAGTAATTTATTTATTTACTTAAAATTATTTATTTTTATTTAATCTACATGTAGAAGTGACAGGCCTTAAGGGCTGAATTGAATCTATTGTTTTCAATTTTCTGAAACATGCAGGAAAAATGCAAGTGTGACAGAACAAAGAACAACTCACTGGTCAGAATATAATATATAATGAAAACTTTATACTGATCAGACTTCAGGATTTCAAAATAAAACACAACCATATAATGATAGTTCATTCCTTCTACCTGAAATTGCCTACTGATAGTACACGTATGCTAATATGAAAAGTTGTTCATGCATGCATAATTTCAAGTGCATGTCTCTGAAACAAATCAATTTAAATGCAAACACCTCAGGTTTTGAAAAATCAGTGCATTTTTCTTCCAAATTCCACTTCAGCAGGTTCTGCTGTGTTTCTACTCTTACTCTGCTATTGGCAGTTTGAGGTGTCATTCTCAAACTCATTAACAATTCATGAAGTTTAAAGAAAGGAAATCATGAGCGTGAGTTTCAATTGAGAAGATACCAGTACATCAAACACTCAAGAATGTTTGACTACATTTCCAAACACCTCGCAGTTCATCAAAATACTCCGTTATGCACACAGTATTTTCAACTGTCTTCCCATTGTTTGAAAATGTGGTCAAACATGGTCTTTTCTGTTTGATATGTTACTAGTTCTTACAGTATACTAGACAGTAGAAATAAATGTGTGTGGATACAAGATCAGCAAGGCACTTTGATGTCTCAACAATTCTTCCTTGGTCATCTAGTAAGAAACTTGAAAACTAATGAGTTGAGTTAACACTTACTTGTAGAGCCATATGGGCCATAAAATTCGCTCTGGGTGGTCAGTCATTTCTCTATTTTAACATAGTACAATTGGAAGAACATTATTTTAGCTGAGATTTAAATTTTATTTTTCATCATTAGGGGCTCATACATTAGGTAATTATGTACGTTGAAAGTTCAAAACCTTTTTTTTTTAAAGAATGCAGACAAGCCAAAACTAGTACTTGCTTCTCAAGAATGCTACCATTAATGAACAACTCAAGTAATGTGAGAAGAATGTACTTCTTGCTGAAAGCTCTCTTAAAATAGTGTAAAACAATATTAGGAAAAGTCTTGACAATCGCAACAATTTGAGGGCCTAATGTATATAAGTTCTAAAATAATAATAACAGCAAACGAAAGATTGTGTTAAGACTTTGTCTAGAAAATTAAACTTTGAACACTGGCTGATATAGTTCCTCTTTCAATATGTTAATGGCAGGTTCTAAAGATATTATAGATCGCCAATATCATTTATTACTACATAACAAAAATTAATGCAGATATGAAAAGTAGTTCAAGTTGTGTGACCGTTACGCTACTGATTTTACAAGTGGGTATTGGCGACTGTAACAATTTATGTACCATAATTTCAGCAGATAAATATAATTAACAAAGTAATATAGAACAACAAATCAAACCTCCAAACTTGACTATATCAAAAATTTTCATTGAAATGATACTTACAATCTCCTTTGCAAACTTGTCACATAATTTTTATAGTTTTATACTGTTATGCAATATTATTATAATAACAATTTTTTTATTATAATGACAGCCCAATATATAATATGATGTAAAGAGCTGACATGTCTACAGATGCCTTTATTGATTTCTTTGAACTATAAATCTTATGTTGTCACTAAATCAAAAAAATAAATAACTGTTTTGCATAGACCCGCCATGGGGAATTTGTCAATTGGATTTATATCAATAAATCATAAACAGATAACTTATTTGCCCTCTATTAAAAAAAGGTATATATTTAGATAATTTGCACATTATGTTGTTAGCAACATAACTTTAACTTTACAGACAGTTTATCTGGGATTTACTGCGCAGAAAACAAAGCCCAATTTGTCACGCCCAAAATCTGCTGTTAATAAACAAGTAAGCTTAATTTTTTAGCACGCTTTAGATCACATGAATGAACTAAACGACAGCATATTCGATATAGCACTGTCGCGGACAACATCGAAAGGCAAGCTTACTTCTGTAAACACCGCAAGATTGTTGATGAATAAATCCAATTATGTTTCATAAAAACCGATTCATAACCCTCTCGAATTAACAATGGTTGCTGCACCCTCGCCAAAATGTTTGTTTGAAAGCGCCGTACATTTGTATAACAATGCAAAACACGTGTTGAGAACGCGGCGAGGTTTCTCGTTCAAATTGTGAGCGAACTGCATTGTGATTGAAATACGAGTCCGTAGCTTTCTTCTTCCAGTTACAAGTCGAAGATTTTGGACTTGAGATAAAGAAAACTTCACTGAAAGACACAATAAAGCGACGGCCTGTCATGACCTCGTGTACCTCGAGAAGATCGATTACGCAGAATTTTAATACGCGCACAGTCGCCTGCACTGACACAACTTCATTTAACTAAATTACCCCACTATAAAGCAAATTCCCTATGTCAAGACTATAAAACAGAGTATAACATTCAGGACATGGCAAGGAGAAACACTGTAAGAACAGCATTTGAGGGTTTCAGAAGCCGAGACCATTGTAATCACGAAAGTTAACTTACTTTGAGCAAAATTAATCTTACCGTTTGAGGGCAGAGAGCAAGCAATGCAGGTGGACAAAATGAGTACAACAATTCTGTAAACGGCAGAACTCGGAAGAACCATGTCTCTCATGAGATGTAATGCTCACTTTCACAAGTTATGATGGCATTGTACCGGCCGCTGCAGGCACAGAAGTACTTCGTTCGCTGAAGTCCGCCTCACGGTCCGCGCGTGATACTAACTGAGCGTGACCTCAGATGTCGGCGCGGCGGACTTTTACGGATTTTTATTAACATGCAAATATCGGGCTCAATGACTCTGCTTATCGCCCGCATATCTGGGTATGACTGATTTCACAGGGACATAATACGCGTTTTCCAGAGACATATTACACGATGAGCGCATTTCTGTAAAAGAACGACTTTAACCTCGCAGACATTCCCCGTCAAATGCGGTGGCTAATGGTCTTTCCGAGCTTCTAATGGTGTTGGATTTCATCTATATATTCGCCACTTGTTTCATCGGCGCCCGCAAATTTGAGAATGTGTATGATAATATCTACAAGTGCGATAGACGAGACATCCCTGCCTATAGCTTAGCCACTAGCCGCGTAAAATTTAAATGTCATTGAGTTAATTTTTAACAGACTTGCACAGGGTGCAAAAGGCTATCGCAAAATACCCAGGACGAAATACGCCCAGGCAAAGGTGTTTTTCTTTCTTTCTTTTTTTTTTTTTTTT